TGTCATCGGTTTCCAATTGCGCAGATCGATGTTCATGCTGTTGATCACTGGATTGTTTGTTTAGACTCGATTATTTATAGACCGCCGCCATATAGCTGGAATATTGCTAAGTGTGGCGTAAAACTAAACTCACTCACTCACAAATATGCACTACTCAAACTACACCTTTATAAAGACTGCAGAACTACTAGCCATTCTAACTGCACTACACTTAATACATACCCTCAAACACGCAAAACCCAACTCAACACAACACAACACAACACTCCCACTTTCCAATAATCACCGACTCACTCAGCGCCATAAAACAGATCCATAATATGTACTCAAAATCACGTAACGACACTATCAATACCATAATTGAAGAAATCCATACACTCAATTCACTTAACAAAATATAATCCCACTCTGGATACCTGGACATACAGACATCCCTGGGAACCACATTGCAGACACTGCAGCCAAACTCCACAACACCATTCCCACAAAATATCACAACATTCACCTTCTGCTCAAGGTTACACAACACCAGATGTTTTCACATAGATATCTATAGTAATTAAGTGTAGTGTTACCTCAATCCCCATAATCCCCCAATTGTCTTCAAAGCTATATCAACTTTCTTACTAAACTCTGCTATCATAGATATTACACATTACACATTACACTGTCTTATTAAATTTCCCATCTCACGTATTTAGAATCGGGATCGAAATTCACTAGCGCGGACTGACTGTTTTCTGCGACGTGCGCGAGAAAAATCACCACTTTCCACCCACGCATTTCTCTACACCTTCGCTTAACCAGCTATCCCCACAATCAATCTCCGCCTCTCTCTCTCTCCCTCCCCCCCCCCCATTAGGTCAAGGCCTCTCACCTACCACACACGTCGCACTAATAAAGCCACTCCTACCCTACCCCACCCCCGGTATAGGTTTATCACGTTATATTTCTTTAGTAGGCCCACCATATACATGTACAACCATTGCAGCTTAACTGTAAAACATTAACATTTATCCCAAATTTGCTTTACCATGTTTATTCACAACACCCCTCCCCTCTTACACCCCACCCCCCCCTATAACAACCCAGCTTTATCATCTCTATCAAGTTAGTTCTTTTACTCATCTTTTCTCATATAACTCAACAAACCATTATATTTTACCTTTCCCTTTCTAATTCCGTCTTTATTTTCATTTTATCGTTTATTTTATTAACATGTTTATAAAAGTTTTCTTTCTAACTGGGTAAGCCAACACCCCTTCATTGGGTACGGTGGTTCATTCTCTATTATAAACATTATCATTATTGAATTAGCTCCCACCTACCCCGTCGGCGACGAGGCCTGAAGCCGACGTTAAACTCCAAATGATGATGATGATAATGAGACAGAATTTTGGTTTTATTTGGGATGGTCTAAATTTGTTTCAGTTAATGTAGATTTCGATAGAACTTTTGATATAGGATATAGCTTGAAAGATATTTGGGAGGGGTGTGTGTGTGTGTCTGCTGTGTTTATAAATGGTTTAGTTAAGGTTTGTAATGCTTGTAAGTAAATCTTATTGTACATGTGTTTGAGTATGTTGGGGTTTTCTGAATGGGGGGATTTTATAATGGATGTGACCCATATGGAATTGTTTGTGTTTATGTTGTCTTTGAAGTTAGTGTTGAATGTGCGTGTTTTAATAAGTTGTTTAATTTCTGTTTTGGATGTGTGGAAGTTGATGGATGGTGATGAGTGTGCTGTTGAGAGTTTGGCTGCTGTGCTTGCTGTGATGTTTTCAGTTATATGTGAGTGGCCAGGTATCCAGATGAATGTTATGTTTTTGTTTAAGTGGCTGAGTGAATGTAGTTGGTGTATTATGTTGTGAATTAAGTCTGGACTTGATTTGGAGTGCTGTTATGTATTTGTCTTATAGAACTGAGTGAATCGGAGAGAATGAGCAAGTTTGTATGGTGTAGGGAAGGTATTTGGTGCAGTGCTGTGAGTATTGCTGTTAGTTCAGCAGTGTTGATGGTAGTATGATTAGTGTAATGCGGGTTTGTTGTGAAAGGGGGACTTTGTTGGACGTGTATGACCTGAGACCTCAGATTTTGTTTGTGTTGATGGACGCGTCTGTGTAGATGTAGATATGGTGGGGGTATGTATGTGTTTACTATGTTTGATATGGTGTGGGTGCCAGTTGTGTGGGGGTAGTTTTTATATTGTGTTGGCAAAGGTGGCCATGGTGTCACTGTTGGGAGGGGTTTGTCGTGGATGTAGCTTGTAATGGGAGGTGTGTAAGGTATGTTGTGTAATTGTTGTGCATGTAGCAGACAGGTAATTAGTGTTAGAAAGGGTGCTTTGGTTTTAATTTTTTAATGGTTGATTTCTGAATGTCGTTGTATTTTGTTGTAATTAGTTTATTTGAGTGAGTAATTGAGTGAGATTTGGTTTATTCTGTGTTTGACTGTAGAGGTGCCTGTGAGAAGAAGGAATGTGTTGAGGGAGGTGCCCTAGGGCAAGTTTTTGGGCTTTATACTGAATAGAGCTTAATTTTTGAAGGTTTCAAGGGGACAGGACATAGAGGACCGGAGCAGCGTAGCCCAGTTTCGACATGATGAGGGTTTAATAAATGTAAATAACAAATGTTAACACAATTATCACTTATTCATGACATATAATATACATTGCTGATTATGAAAAAAAAAGAAATAAACAAAATTATAAGCGTACAATCGCAAATCAAAAGTGCAATATTTGGTACTTGGGTTTACTTCCCTCGAAACGAAGCACCCGGGAGACCGAACCCAGTCAGAGCGGGTGTGTGTGCACTCAAGTGTAACGAAAACTTTCATTGGCTGGTTCATTTGCCGATACTCTGAGGGCTCATTGTGTGTGTTCATATAGAGATGTTAAACCGTAAATACATGCTCATGTTTTCTGCATTTGCGTTCGATCCAATCAACAAATACTAAGATGATGAACTACTGCGTGGCTGGAAACTGTCGTTCGTCCAAGTACAAAGCAGGACTTGAAACCGACAATCTGAGTTTGCACCGGTTTCCGTCCCATCCAGTCATCCGAGAAAAAATGGATGCAGTTTGTTTGCAACCCACAGACATAATAACATGTGATGTGCACAAGTATCAAACCTGCCTGTCTGTAACTTCTTTGAGAAGCTTTTAGAAGTTGGAGCAGTACGGAAGGAGAACAATATATGGATGAACAATTTCTTTTTTGCTGTGAGAGCGACGTTTCGGTGTAGGTTCTACCTTGTATATATGTTCTGAGAGAGAGAGAGAGAGAGAGAGAGAGAGAGAGAGAGAGAGAGAGAGAGAGAGAGAGAGAGAGAGAGAGAGAGAGAGAGAGAGAGAGAGAGAGAGAGAGAGAGAGAGAGAGAGAGAGAGAGAGAGAGAGAGAGAGAGAGAGAGAGAGCAACTATTACCTAGATGTTCACGGGTACTGTTGGCCACGTGAGATTGAGTGGGTCATTGTCCGGAAAATCAGATAATGGTGAGTTGTCTTTCTTACGGTAAAGGGGTCTACAGTGAGATGGTGTTTCATCATTAGGAGACTCGAACTTCAAGTCAAGGAATGTTAACTTGCATAAGGGACCCTCTGGTCCAGACGTTATGGAAACGTGATCGGAACTGTGGTTAAAATGCTTTCTCAGAAACGGAACATGAGGATTTCAATTCCTTAGATCTAACATAAAGACATCAGTCAAAATGAAAGTGGGAAAGTCAGACATAAACTGACCTGCCGCTATACCTTCTTCTCCCTTCGTTAAGCACGTTCCGATAGGTATCCCAATACTTACTTTGCATCAACTACTAGGATACGTAAAACACACACACGCGTCAGCATACCGTTCACCTCACCGTCTGCACACCCTTGCCCTGCCATTTGAGCTGTAACGATGAAATCTCGACTCAGCAGTGAACAAAACGACATCCAATCTTGTCTCCTGTACCGTAGATGCTGGCTGCACTAAGCAAGATGTGCCTGTCGGTGACGTTGGAGCACAATTGGACGCGTACGTATTGCAGGCCGTCGGGAACGGATGTTGTGCTGCCTCAGTCGGTTCTGTACAGTCCTGGAACTGATTGGACGTAAGCCAGGAATGGTTCGAGCCGCCAAACCGGCAGTCTGGAATCGATTCCTGAGATGGGTCAGCCGAATGTGGTTGCCTTGCTGACGTGACGTCATGCGTGGAAGGCCGGTCAGAGGCAATCTGGTGTTCCCAAGATGTTGAAAACGTTTCCATAGAGATGAGATCGTGTTTCGATGGATACCAAAATGTCCAGCCTGGATCAACGGCACGTAGACGCCTATTTTTCTGTTAGCCGTGGCCTGACAAAGGTTGAAATTGACGTGTTTTCCACAACATTCAGAGGCCAGGAAACAATCAACCGTTCTTCAATTTTCAATATCACGTGTGTGAACTTCAGGTGTCAGAGAGCATGCAAAAAGAAAGCGTTCTAAATGCATCTACTATTAGTAAATATACATATTATTAACGTGAGTATGTTCACTGTACGCCACATAAAACTTAATGCAAAGTGTTTTGCTACGTATTTAACTAGGGATGTTTTCATAAGTTTTCAAATAACTTTTATTTTATGCAATTTTATGCTATGTAAAATTGGTTACAATACGTGCTTCACTGTGAAAAGAAGGATCCTAGTGGGTGGTATTTAGCTACTACTTGCGCTCTACTCGTCATGTCGAAACACATCATCATTGACACACTGAGTACCACACATTATAGAGAGACACAACTGAACTTTGTCAGGTGATAGAGCCAACATACTAATGATATATCACAAAGGTTGTGGTAACCAGATCCGTATCACATGAACTTAAACCCACGCACTGTCGTTCCTTAAGATTTTACAAAATCCTTGGAAACAGACCTGACTGAGACTCACCACGATTGGTCAACAGCATAAATCCGTAAGCGGATAACGGATGTTCATACCCGGATTCAAGCCGCTATAAAGTTTGCTGGAGACATGTGTTCGCTACCCCAGCTCTGACAACAGACAAGATACGACGATCAACAAACCTTGGTGAGTATGATTCTTCTTCATAGCTTTGTCTTTATGCTCATTTAATCAGTCCCTTGGAGTTGTGTCTGTTTTAAAAAAAATGTGAATTGGATAGTCTATGTGTTTTAAACACAAAACTATAACCAGCTATTACAGTTATTAGTATTTGTTATGTAATACAAAGATTTCCTATCTCATCTTTACAGTTCGTTTGCGCTGCAATTCATAATCCTTATCAGGCTTCGACAACAAGTCGCTGAGTGTACCTTTATGTGCAATGATACCGGAAATATTAGGTGACCGGAATCTAGAAAAATAACATGATCACTACCAGTTATAGAAACAATGTTCAGTGTTGTCAATTGTAATCTTGTGAAATATAATTTTGTGAAAGTATAATTTACTTTAATGACGAATGGGGCAAGAAATTGATTTGCAACCACATGACCCTTACTTAGTATGAAATGATGGAAATTTGTTCTTGACAATTGGAATATTTTCTCACTGATTAGTCCGTTCAGGAACATTTCACCGACAGGCACATCTTCTCGTTACTTCAAGTTTCTTTCCAAAATCTGAAAGAAATTGGAACTAACCAGAAAATAATTGAAATACCGGGAAATTATTGGAAGCAACGAGCAAATACACGAAAGGTTAAGCTTTTGAAAGAAACTTGAAGTAACTAGAAAATAGTGGAATCAACGAGACATTTCTATTGCAAAATATACCCCATGCTGCCAAAGTGGCCACATTAGGCTTCCGTACTTGCCATCTTGATGTGCGTAGAAACAAATGATACGTTTCTCCAACTCTGCCCAGGGAACCGGGACAAGACGACTGACTCGTGAACCGCCGTAAACATAACATGAGACACTTTAATTGATTATATAATGAGAGATAGATAATTGTCATGTGTCGCAACCTCGCATTTTCGCCTTTTTAAAAACATTTAACTGTAATCGCATGTGCCAATATAACACAAGCAAAATCACGAATACTGATATGTATTACAAGAAGAACATTTTTTCAGTATAATAGGCAATAGGCCTAAGTATAATATGAATGCAACATATATATATATATACATACAAGGTCCTTAAGTTCGCAACAGCAACATATGTATAACTTATATTTTGAGCATATACGTTGAAAATATACGTACATATACATTTAGTGTAAAGAGCACGTAACAGGAAACTTCTTTGGTAAAGTTTTGCATAAAGAGCTGTACATTTAGGATTGGCATTTTAAAGAAGATTTATTAGACAATCGATATTTATATATTCACTATTTATCATATATTTTAGTCGCAACCTATTGTGGACATTCTAGCATATGTATTTATGTGAAAACGTTCACCAAACCAACATTTCAGTTTAAATCCCATAAGGATGATATACTAAGAGTTAATAAGGTATCAAAGCTTTAAATAAAACACCATTTCTGGTAAATAAGATATAAGGCACATGATCGTTATCTGTACCAGTTTTAGATGTGTGTAGCTTTATGCAATGATGATGTAACGGGACTAACGGGACTGGGAGGTCAGACAAGCTGACCTGGTTCAGACATGTCATCATATCCCAATTGTGTTGTTTGATGCTCTTGAAGTTGATCACTGGAATGTCTGGTCTAGAGCCGATTTTCCACAAACCGCCGCCATATAGCTAGAATATTGCTGAGTGTGGCGTTAAACAACAACCCAACCTCATTTCCGCTACTAGCTGCGCAATGACGACAGAACGAAGGCCTCTGATTGGCTGAAATGTAGATATTTTCAGATTTTGGTCAATGTGTTTTGTGGAACTATGGTTACATAACCATAGGTTAAGAGACCCTGAGTTAAAATGACAATGGAACGGAGGCCTCATGAAAGTGAATCCTCTCAAAAAGAGGTTGATTAGACTGATATCTGAAGGATATGTACCGACTGATAATGAAACCAAAATACTTTCCAATGTTCTTATCCATCATTTAATATTATTTGCAAATAATACAAAAACTGAATCATCAGATCGAACTGATGAAAACCTTGCACAAGTCTTGCATGATCTTGTCTATCGTTGTCCTTGAGCCGTTTTGGAAATCCGTTGTCCAACAGTCAATGCATTGACAGTTGCTTGCTTGACGTTCTAGAAGTTGGTGAGAAATTGAGAAAACATACAACTTTATGGCTAAGAACCTGGTCAAAACCAAAAGTTATTACCAATGAAGGTACAGGTATTCTTATTACATTGACATTCCCACGATAGGTTTTGGTGAGGGATATTCTTGTACTCATTTTATGTATATTGGACTCCATGTGTCATTCACCTTCTTGACACGTGGTAATTATATCATGTTTCTTTTTCAGGTTTGAAAGTTCCAGATATCTGCAGCAACATGGTATGGTTGGATCCCTAATCTTAAACCAGCAACATCTAAGTTGTGTTTCTGCAAAAACGCTGAATTGTCGAATTTTTTCTTCATTTCTTTCTCTGTGTGTTTCCCATCTTCCTCGCGCCAGCTATGAATTCCGATATAAAACAGTAAAAGGTTTCTGATCTCCATTTTCCCCTCCACTGTGAAAGTGTATGCCATGATGTGATTAAACACAGTTGCATAAAAAAATATCAACTTGACCTTTCTTCATCTGCATGTATTAAAAATGTTTTAGAGGCAAAAGACCCCATCAATATAATTGTCTCAATTTATAAATTTAAAAGTAAGGTACACAATTTCTTATGTATATTTCTTTATATCTATGTATCCAGATATTTATCTATCTGTGGGATTTGGCCGCCCGATTTAAAAGTAAGGTACACAGGGTAATCAAGTTTGATATATTTTTTTTATATCTATTTGTGATCTTCATGACGCTCTTTTACTGATTGAAGTTGGAAATGAAAAACACAAAAAGCACGCATGATCTTGTTAATTTATCACCCAACAGATAAACAAGGGGGTGGTTTACAGACAATTTGTTTAGCAGTAAGATGGCAATTTTCAGCGTTAACACCTTCAATGAAATTACCAAAGAACAACAACCAATAAAACTATTTGGGTGGAAAGTCTGCCTGTCTTTGTAACACGTTTGTAAGTGGTGAAGTGTATCATCACTGTGTGATAGTTATTTATACACACATGCTTGTAAACGTCGCCGCTATATGACTGAAATAATGCAGATGTGACTTAAAATTTAACTCGCTCACTAACCCATTATAAAAACACGCTAATTAAATAATCGGTATCGTACAATATGGGAAAGGTGTTGTTGTCGTTATTCATTTCACGCTGCTTTTAGCTATTCTGGCAATATCACGGCGGACACCAGAATTGGGCTTCACACATTGTACCCATGTGGGGAATCGAACCCGGGTCGCCAGCGTGACGAGCGGACGCTCTAACAACTGGTCTACCCCACCGCCCCTTCATTTATATAAAGAGCCATCACCTTAAGATCATTTTCTGTGTAACCCATCTGTTTGCTTTGTCTAATTTGAGAAATTGCTGAAAACTTCAGCTACAAATGATGAGCTCAATGATCTCTTGAGTGAGGATTCAGAATACGTCATGGTAAATATTCCAAGCTTTGCCACGACTAAAGGTAAATACACGAATCTTGACCCAGGACAACCCAATGGCTAAAAGTATGAACATTGATAACTTAATTGAGTAAGGACAGTTTTGTACTTGACAATGGCGATGTCCTAATCTACCGATACCTGTTTTCCCATTTCAGAGCGTTCAGTCAGAAATAAAAGTTGTCTTGTACAGCAATACCAACCTCACTGGCGACTGTGTACCAGTCTCTACAGACATACCGGATTTGAAAAACTTTAAGAACAGAGCTCAGTCAGCCATTGTAATCCATGGAAAGTAAGTACATGTTTATCAAACAAAGTAACCCCTAATGTCCCACAATATATACTGACCATCAGTTGGATGTGGCTAATGAGTGATGCTACTGCCTTGTACACCAACTGAAACAGGCGCTAGGTTAAGTATAGGGCAAGTAATGAACCCGGACATAACCTGTAGTGTATTGAATGCTCATCGTTGAAACTCTTTCACATTAAGATGTTCTGAAGTTTTCTACCGTTTTAAATTCTTCCAGATGGGAGCTGAAAAGCGCTGCGGGAAATACATACCCTCTTGACGAGACAGTCGGAAAGTATAATGACCTCGGTACTTTCAAACAAAAGGCCATCTCCATCACCCGAGTATAAGGTATATATTATGTATTTTCTTCTATAACAAAAGCTTACAGCAGAATGTTATATTGCTATGATTTACCAGGGCAACTCTACAACTTATAAAGTCTCCCTGGATTTACAAAACGTGCCTTTGCCTAGGCCCTTGAAACTGGCACTGCGTACCATTTACTGCCTTCAACCATAATCTAGACATATGTTCTTGCTTCAATACGGTCCATGTACTGATACATAATTCCAGTCCCTTGTTCAGTGGGTGTCCTATGTTTATTTTGCAGGTGCCGTGGCCATGAAGGAGACCCTCCCAACAAAGGGACATACCAGCCACCTGCATTTCTGCAATTTCCTCTGCACTTTCCTGTACTCTTGATTTTCCTTTACTCCAGATTATTATGCTTTTAATGTCTAACATTTGGCTATGCTCAAGTGGGTTTGCTTGAGGTGGGGATAGGAACCGACGTAGGTTGTAAGGGTGTGGTTATGACAGTGTTCAGGGACACATGGGTTTACTCTCACTGCCTCTTGGGACAGTTCAAGTCAAAATCACGAATGGTCATAATATCTACAGATAAACTAACTCGACACAGCAATTACATCATCTAAATCCAACAATTGTGGCTTTAATCTCTCAGTAAAATGATTACAAAGTACGATGCAGAAAATTATTGTTCATTACTATTCTGTAGTTCTATGTGTAACATCAATTTTTCACCTGTGCACTTTGCTTCACATATACTATGATTCGTTTTGAACAATGAAAGCTAAGAAGATGAAGGTCACATTGCGTTGTTGAAATTAAGCCTCAAATTGAAGAAACTGTATTGATATTTGAACAGGTGCAGAGCAAAATTAGGAGCAGTCCATTTTAAAGCGTTCGCTACTGTTGATGATGAATTCAGTTTTGTACATTACGTTATTTGACACTATTATGACACTATACAGAGTAAAGAAATAATAGACAAATGTGGGAAAATTGTGATTCCTTTCGTTGTTGAAAATAAACATTTGATAAAATTTTAACTTTTCTTGCGTGTTAGTATTCGTGTACATGAAGTACGACTGTGTCTGTTGCAAAGGAACACAAACCTGCATTCTGACGGCAAACCTCATAATTCGAGGGGGCTCTTATGTTGACACACACTGTACGAGGGGCCAGTACATAACTTACGCCGACTGGTCAACTGACCACTCCATTGCTGACCACAAGTGAGTGAGTGAGTGAGTGAGTGAGTGAGTGAGTGAGTGAGTGAGTGAGTGAGTGAGTGAGTGAGTGAGTGAGTGAGTGAGTGAGTGAGTGAGTGAGTGAGTGAGTGAGTGAGTGAGTGAGTGAGTGAGTGAGTGAGTGAGTGAGTGAGTGAGTTAAAATTAAAGTCACACCGGCAATACTTCAGCCATATCGCGACCAATGAAGTTCATTTTGTCGATAATAGATAAAGTTGTTTTATAAAATCTGTCGACAAAAACAGTAAAAATGAGTAGATAATCACAGATAGAGAATTAGAAATAGCATAGAACTTTACACTTAAACCTCTATTATGGACAACCCAATATGAAAAAGGCTGGAGACCATCAGCAGCTGAGGGAAGATCACCATACCAGGGACCGTACTTCTGCTACCTGCATGGACCCTAGCTGCAGTTACATCATCCTCCATTCAGCCGCTGGCGATTGTAGTTAAATTTAGCCATAATTCAAAATCACAAAAATACTACGTTTAAAAAATCAGGTAAGTTTAAATTTACTTTGAATGTTGTCCTCGCAGGACAATCATTTTACAATGCTTTAACCCCCTTTGAGGATACAGCCACTAACAATCTCAGTTACTAATTTAAACTTAAAATCATTAAAATACCTCTATCGACAACACATATCAATCAACATTTATCAATCAAGTCTATTTCATTAAAAAAATGAAATACACAAATACGATGTATTTTTTTTTTTTTTTTTTTTTTTTAAATCGTGTCAGCGAAGGACAGTAAAACAACTAGAATATCACAGGTATGAATATAAAATTAGTATGTAAATATGAAATATGTCAGCTACAGAAGACAATACAATATAAATACAGTCTATAGACTGAAGGTAGATCACCATACTTGGGACCACGGGGACTTACAGTACATTTGCTTCCTGCATGGACCCAAGCTGGATTTACACCATCCCTTCAGCTGTTAGCAAGTTTAGACCATAGGCAAACTGTAGCGCAAATGGGGTTGCGCAACAGAGAGGAAAATGACCAGTCTTTCTATATGAGAGCAAAGCGAGCAAAGGTTGACAACGTACTTCCCTCGCTTCGGTTCGAACAATATTTTTAATGGCAAAATAAAATATCGCCACCATCAAAGGTAGGAGACACCCATTTCCACACAGAGTTGAACTCTCAGATTTCCAACCTCATATTTACTAATTACTCACGTAAAATATATTCAATTCAACATTTTAAGCGCCACTCGTGGCATATCAAGTCGTTCTTCGCCTCCATTACCACTGCCAGACAATCTAGCCATGAATTAAAATAACACAAATTCCACGATTAAAGATAGTGGTATGTTTAAATGCACTTTAAATGTTTTGGGACTTACGTACCCCTACAGGAGGACAATAATTTGACAATACTTCAACCCCCTGTGAGGACAGAGCCACTCACAAATCTCAGCTGCTCAATTAAACTATCAATAATAAAATATGTATCTATTTACAAACCATTTGTCAAACTTTATCAAATAATTCGATTTCCACAATTAAATGACAATTAACATTAAAAAGATCCTTCACTGTTTTGACATTAAAATATTTATCCCCTGTGATGGAAAATCAATACAGTCAAAAAGTCATGCTTGGCGGTGACTCTCTCAGCACAAGGGATACAAAACAGAGGACCCTCACCTTTTAACATGCATTAGTGAGTATATACATCTAGAATGGTCAATACGACATCATCGCATGATGACCTCTGGACTGACAACCCAAGTAGGTGTAACCAATATAGGGTTTTATAGATTGTACATGTAATTTATTATGGAATCAGAGGTGGTGTCACCTATCAAAGCAGGGAAGGCTTTAGAAACACAAAATGACCTATCAAAGCAGGGAAGGCTTGAGAAAAACAAAATAACAATTTAATATCTTTACATTTAGTAACTGATCTGAACAGTATCACAGGAGTAAACCAAATACCCATTTCCTCAACATCTGAAAAGCGTACTCGGGTACTCGGGTACTCGAATCCGGATCGGGTACAGCTGGAATCGAGTCCAATTTCAAGGAACCGAGTACCCGGAAACGGTGAGAACTCTGTAATGTCAAGGGCATGTAACTGAAACCAAGAACAACATGGACGACACGCATGCTTAATGTGTTTGGGCTCATTTTGAGCTTGATGCAAATGGCAAGAGAACCAAATGCCGACTCTGTGGTACCATGTTATTTATTGTGGAAGCAGTGACAGTTCAATGAACAAACATCGTGCTCTAAAACACAAAGTAAAACATAAAGGTGTTCATTACATTATGTAACTCTAATTGCTTATTAAGTTAGTTCATTAAAAGCTGTTAAGATTACATTGAATTTTGTCATGTCAATTTTATGAACACATCTATTACTTCTGTGTCAAGGCTGAATACATTCATTATATAGAGATTGTAATTAAATGATTGTATGTGTTGGGAATATCAATTAAAACTAATGAATTAACATATTAAAGCGAACGTTTATTGACAGAGCACATTCTGATTTGCAAATACATGTACAATGTTCGACTGATTATCATGACAATAAGAAGAAAGGTGATCAGAAATATATAGAAGCACAATTCACTTAGATCACATATCCCGGAATATAATACCATTCAGATAATATACATTTCAAATAATATCAGCATAGAGTTATTCCAATGGAGATACGCAATGCTCACTTAATATATACAAATTTAGAATATTTAAATAACAATAGTTTTTTAAATTGTTTTAATTTAAGCGTGAAAATATAGCATTTAGATATATTTCTTTATCCCTACATTCAAACAAAAGTATTTCAATGCGACTTTTAATAATCGTCTGGAAGGATAAAAATTTAATCACTGTATTAGTTTGTACTGTATAATAGACTAACTGTAATGCAACTGAGTTGCGCAACAGAGCAAAATGACCAGTCTTCCCTCACGCGAGCGAAGCATTTTTCTATGCTGCTTAACTCAGTTGCATTACAGTTTGCCGGCCTGTATATCTCGTATAGAATTCTAGAGTCAGTAAATACATCAATCAAATTTTATTCTATGTAAGTTTACATAAAATCTACATGTAAAACATTATAGGTTCGGTTAGAATATCACATCTGAAGGTAGTTGTGTACTAGTTGACAAAACAACTTGTCTTTCTCATTGACGTAACACACAGTTACTTCTTTGGTATTGTCCGGTTAATGGATGTTATTATTAACGACTGTAATATATTTGCACATGAGCAATGAGTTGTCATGTCACAGTAACAGTGCGAACGAAAAGTGCTGTGGAATGTACGTAATGGTGTTACTCTTTATATTAGTTAAACAGACGTAAATTAAATAGTCTAAGATCAGTTTCAATGTCTTATTGCCATCCTTTCAAAAAATTTATAATAATTTCTGTCAAATCATGATTGGATATTCAGAAAGTTGACAGAGCGCTGTATTCCTTACATTTCCGGGTACTTGATTCCGATTCGGGTAAATACATGCGGGTACTCGATTCCATTTTTTCCTACCCGTCCCAGCCCTACACCCAGGCAACATATCAGTTGGTCTCGGAGAGTGGATGAGTGTCTGTGTTTGGCTCCTGTTCTGCCCCACAACAAATCACACATGGTTGAAAATTACCTTTGTTAACCCAGCAGAAAATGGGTGCCCGGTAGGATAAGTCATATGTCTACTAACTTTCTAGGGCGGGGTATCCTATAGTGGTTAAAGCGTTCGCTCGTTGCGCTGAAGACCCGTGTTCGATTCCCCATATGGGTACAATGTGTGAAGCCCATTTCTGTTATCTCTCGCCGTGATATTGCTGGAATATTGCTAAAAGCGGCGTAAACCTAAACTCAATCACTCAGTGACATTGTTTTGGTGTGTGTGTGTGTGTGTGTGTGTGTGTGTGTGTGTTGTTGTTGTTTGCACACACTATTGAGAAAAGTAAGGGTGCACACTTCATTTTCACCCGAGTTTCAATGGTCATTTAACAAACTTTCAGCACATAACTAGAAATTGTACTTTACTGGGAAAGTGTAATCCCAATTATATATTTGTTACAGCTATTGTCCTTATATTTCAAAATGTGTATTTCTGAATACAGTATGACAATCACAAATAGGATTGTTTTCATGAATGGGCGTTTAAAATAACATTTTATTTCAGCTGTCATAAAATATATACACAAATAATCTAAAACTGATGGATTCGTGGAGAGTCCCGATATGATTCAGTGTCTACCAGCTGACTGAATCTTGCTGCCATAAACCGGTGAAATCTAAAATTAATACTATGAAAATAGTATAAAGAACCCGAAGAAACGTAAAAATTAAATATCCTCATTGAAGTGAAATGTACGTAAAGTATTTAAGATTAAAGTTGATTAGTTATATACAAATATATTGTTGTGAAACTCGTATCCATTTCTAATTGCATTGCCTACAAATGTCGGAAAGCGCACGTAAAATCTCGAAAACATGCCCGCTAGATCATCAGAGAAAACACTCAAATGGACACTTCTCGGACAGGCCATTTGTGTATATTCTCCTTGACCCCTAGGAGAGCTTTCAGGGGGACACAGGGGAAGAGAAACGTTTTCAACACAAGTCAGTACACCTGACCACCAAGTCCCCACATTTGACCACCCAATCAATAAGTCTGACCATCAAATCCCCACACCTGACCACCCAATCCATACGTCGCCATGTCTGACCACCTAATCCACATGAAAATCCAGACATGCGGCCAACCAAGTCACTTATGCAACCAAGAATAAATGTCCTCACTTGAAGTAAAAAACTCCT